TCCATGAAGGGAAAAAAAAAACTGTCCAGAAATCAACTCAGAGTCGCAGCCAAGCATTTCGTGCCTTAGAGAAACATCCACTGTGATAACTAGAAGCAGGAATTCAATGTTAGCATTCTTCTATTCTTGCTCACGTGGCCATGAATAAAAAGAGCAAGTTCTGTTATACTACCATCCACAATTAAAATTTTATAACCCCATAAAACACCAGTAAATTTTGCATGAGCTGCAGAAGAATGCAAATTCAAAGGGTCGCTAGGTTTATTACCTATAAATTCAATGTCTTAATATAAATATTCTGTCTGTACACCATAAAAATGTCCCTCTTATGGTCTGATTATTATTTAAATAATACTCTGATAAAATCTCAGCAGTACGCCAATTAAGGTCATTAAAGCTATAGAAATAGAATCTACCTAATAAATGCTGCAAATTTAACAAGTATTTTAGATAAACATGATTAGCTTAGTTATCACCTAAACCAAAAAGACTCCTCAAACACACCAACTGCGTAGTTAGCAAAGACATTTGCTTTACAAAGTCAAATGCTGCCAACGTTTCAAAAGTTTAGCAAATCAATGTGGTATTTGGAAGCATCCAAGTGTCTAATGAAGTTAGAATACTGTGAAATGTTAGGACTGGGGGGGAGCTCCTGTAAACAAGTACAGAAGTAGTCTTAATTTAAATTACAAAACATTCACCTCCTTAAAAAGCTTTAAAATTGACCCAGTCAGCAATAGTGCCCTGGGAAATCTAGCAGTATAAAGAATCTCTGTAAGCACGAGAAGGTCATATATTGTGATCTCACCACAATAAAACGTACTCAGTGTCAGGAACAAGGAGTAAATTTGGGGAGATGACAATTATGACACCTTTAGGCCATTTGATCTGAACCACTGCACTGTTTTGGGCAGCATAAACCAAATTTCTTTGCTGCTCACGAAACACTTGAAATTAATGCTTCGTTCTCTACATTTTGTTGCTAAGCAGACTCTCCCATGTCCCCAGCTCAGTTTACTTGGTTTAAAGAGTTACAGTACCTGCCACTTCCAGCAGGTGGAAGAAAACTTCAGTGCCACCTTATTAATCAGCTTCATTGATATTAACTTCAAACCCAGACACTACAATTAAAACCAAATTTGACATTGTGTAAGGAACGCATCAGATGTAGGTAATAAGCCTGTAAAAGGCTCCTATTCCACAGGTTGCCTCTGCAGAGCAGGCATCCTCCCACTAGAGAATCTGATCTGAAAATGTATCCCAACAGTAACACCAGAAGGAAGGAGGCTTCTATATCTTGCACACTTTGGGTTTCAATCAGGCACTTGAACTGTTGGACAGATGCCATTCTGAACCAAGTAAGTGAACATAGGGTTAGAATCATCTTTAATCTAGGTCTAATAATGAAGTATCAGCAGCAAAGTGGAGGCAGGGAGTGAGCAATCCATCTGTGCTGAGACTTGTTTAATGGTTTCTAAAATGCCCAAGAAGACAGCAGCAGTAACTGTTCCATAGTGTCCGTTTTCCTTTTGAGTCATGTTGCTGATAGGAGGCTTTTCTGTGTCTTGAACTAAGAAGGCATTGAGGTACCCTGTGCCTAATTCCCTGGATCCAACAGGTCCATGCTAGAGCCAAACATTGCCACCAGCTGCTCCTCATAATGTGTTATATTTCTCTTCATAATGTCCATGCAGGGTCCAAGCAACCTCTCAAATGCTTGCACATCCATGACTGTAAAGGAACAGAAGTGAAAACAAGATCATTTGTCAAAATGGACATCACAAGCCATTCTATTTTTTGAACTCAAACTTCCACTCCAACCCAATCAGGTTTGAGGCTTCAAACAGAAGCCACAGAAACAGAAATCATACTTCTAATTTCCCTCTGTGCTGTTACTTGGAGAAACAAGATCAGTAAATTACACATCGGACCTCAAGGATAAATAAAGAAGCCAAATACACACCACACTGGCATTAAAAGATCACTGAAAGCTGTGCAGAATCGGCTAGAAAGAAGCAGCGGTGCTTCTCATACTTCAACATGGAGATGGGCTCCAGCCCATGCTCCTAGCTTCTCGTGCCTGATTGCCAGTTACAAAAGGCTGCTAGGCTTTGAGTAACTGCCTGCTGGAGCACAGTCCACAAAACAAGTGAAAACCAGAGAACAGGAACTAGAAACACAGAACATCTGCTTACCTAAACATTTGACCTCCCCAACAGCATAGGCAGAGGCTGCTCTGGGTTTGTTGGTAACAAGCGCAAGCTCGCCAAAGTACTGCCCTCGGTGACACTGGGCAATCTCCACTTCTTGGTTAGCTTCTTTACTCGTCATGGTCTGTTAAACAGTACATTTTCATTATTTGCATCCAGTTCTGTCTTCGTACAAAGCTGCATTAATCCCAGATATCTTACAGATGTGCATCAGCTCACCGGTTTAGGGCTCTTAAACTAGCAGTTACCAAGTCATGGTCTGTAGTGGTTTGACAGCCCACAAGTTTGAGATTGGCTTTGGGAACTGCTCTTACGTTAGCCTGGCACAGGTTTTATCATGCACAACATGTTGTTCCCTAAGGCTGCTTCAAACTGTACAGAGATCCGTTCAAATGCCACCATCTATTATGTCACTAGAGAGCCCAGGTTTTGTGAATTGCAGCTTTCCATAACCCTAGAAGAAAAGTTTAATCCCCAGCCTTAAAGCCAAGGACAGTGTATCAGCTTAGTTTGCAGCGGAGTAGGTACAAATAAAAGTCTTTCGAACTTTACTAAAGTGACTGCTGGCCACTTCCGAACAGATACAGGGTTTTACAATGTACATCACCTGAGTGACAATAAATACAGTAAAACAGTAACTTAAAATAATCAGGGTAGGCTTTTTCACACCACTTGCACCAATCAAATCAGGTATTGACCTAAAGCCTCAACACTCAATTTGAACTCACCTTGCTTTTAATCAAGATTTTTACTTCACCAGATTCTACAATGTAAAAACAATCTGCTTTATCACCCTGTGAAGAGGAATGGATAAAACAAATTATTTTTTTGTTTCCTGTAAAAGTATGCATAAAACAGTATTAAGAAAAACTGCTGGAACTGACAAACACTCAAATTCTTAACATTAAAAGATGACTTGTTAGGTAATATACCAGAGGAACCCACAGTGGAAGCGACTATTAGTAAATATCATTTAGTGAGTGGGCAGGTGGAAAGGGAAAAGCAATGGAAATTGAGAATATACAGCAAAATCACTTAAGTGCAAATCTTCTGATCGTGTTGGAAGTATCCAATGCTTAGAGAAACTAAGAAGGGCCTAGAATTTCCAGAAGAAAATTTTAATGAGATGCCAATTTAGTGATCGCATTTCTAGATGTCAGTATGAAGAAGGATCCGTTAAACTAAGCATGAGCTCCATCAGTCCATGGTAAAATAGTGGAGGATCAACAGAACCCAAGAATAGTTATATTTGAGGAGCATGAACACAGAAACAGGAGGACAGTTCACAGAAAAGCAAAGATCACAATGCAAGCCATCTACATGATGGAAGACTCAACAACTGTGTAAAGGTCGTTTTGAGTATCTTTCGGGATATTCAAAAGCCACGTGGACAGGATCATGAGCAACTCGATCTAGGCGGCCCTGCTTGAGCAGGGGGGTTGGTCAAGATGACCTTCAGAGGTTCTTTCCAACCTCAGTCATTCTGTGAGTTTCTAGACACCTTTTTCACATCTATCTAAACTGCACCAGGTTGCAAACCTTCAACAGATCATAGTTTACAGCTCTGGAGAGCTTTGCCAGGATTTAGCATTTTGAAAGTTTTAGCTGTGCCAGAGAGGGCTTTCCCTCTCTGTACAAATCCCTGTGGGCTTTGTATGGGACTGGAAGTTAGAGTGAGGAGTCAGCACCTGCCTCCTGCTATGGAATCAGGAGCAAAAGGACTATGGGCTTCAGGGAGACAGAGGCTGGATAAGAAACTGCTAAGTGAATGGGAGCGGCTCACCAAAAAACCTGTGAAATGTGGAGAGAAAGATAAATCTGACATTAAACCAAGTGGGCAGAAACACTATAAATGTGATGGGAAGGATGAAGAGAGATGATTTACAACTTGAGTATGAAACATGGGCTGAGAAGATGATGCAAGATTTAAACATGGAATTACAGAAGAAATTAGGCCCTTAGCTAAGCTTCCTGAGGATGGTCATAAACCATCCAGAAGAAAGCTTTTCATTTACTTTTGTTATCACATCAACTAAGGGACTCGGCACACTTCTGAAAGAGTTAAGTAGTAGAAGAGTACTTATTTTTTTTAAAGAATGAGAACAAGCTGCATGGGAGACAACCTCCTAACACTGGCAGGCACTAACAATCTTCAAGTGTTTTAAAGCATACTGCCCTTAACAGAAGGGTCAAATTCCAAAAAGGTAATTAAAATGTAAAATTATCCACAAGAGAAAAGAGGTTCATGGTATTGATGCAACTACTGTAATATAAAAGCTATCACATTTTTTCCAAGCATGAAATTTCATCATCTTCAGCAGTGCACTACCATCACCCAGACCTATCCGACTATTAATCCTCCTTTTAAGGATAATTACATCCTTGTCCTTAATTCAGTTATTACAAAAGATTAAAACCAACTGCGTAACTGGATAACTAATTGCGTGGGATCCCAGTTTTGAGATTGACTTACAAGCTTGGATTTTGCTGAGGGTTCAGTTTTTTCAAGGTCTTAAGCAACAAGATTTTCAACTGACAAAATTGAGGGTATTTTTGGAGGGAAGTAATTGGGCAGTATTTGGTTATCAGCAAACTAAGGTTTCCTGCATTCAGAGTTATCTGACATTCAAATTAATTAAGTTAATTAGCTGAGATAATTGATCTAGGAGTCATATTCTGTTTGTAAAACAAGGTGACAGCTGTGATCCAAAGCTTGCAAATTCAGGTAAGCCAAGGACATTTTTGCCTTAACTTCTACTTGAACAACTTTGCGATAAACAACGCAACACCAAGCTAAACTTGATGCAAAATTCCACTCTTTCATCAGTAAAAAGTCCCCAAATTTTTTTACGTCAAAGCCCAAAAAGTCCTCACAGCTTTAGCTCGAGTTTGTCCGGCTTCACGTTCCACCACTTTGGCCATGATCTATTACAGCAGATGAAACATATACCGGCAACTGAAGGCTGTCGGCTGAAGCTAGACTACACCACTGAAATACTCTTTTCAAGAGCATCAGGAAAAACAGTGGTTTTGATTAACTCTAATAGTTTCTTAGAATAGTCAGCTGAGTTGGCTCCAAATAGTGAAATACTCCCAACTACTTCATTTACTTTCATCGAAATCATGCTCCTGTTGCATTGCTTTTTTTGGTCAGATGTAGGAATTAGAGATGCCTTTACTACATGCTTGTAAATCCTTATTTAATCTAGTCATAGGTGACTGGGAAAAGTCTAGCTAGGGGCTTCCATGGAAAATTGCATAGATATATATTTAATTTCAGCTCCTTAAGGCATATTCCCCTGGAAACCCTGCAATGACCATTTATAAAAAAACTAACGGGTGAGAAAAGAAAAACCCACAAGACAGAATAATAGAATAAATTTGTAGCAAAAGACATACTGGCCATTCCCCAAACAGTCAAGACGTGGTTAAATAAACTGGAAGTGTTGACATGCCGAGCTAGTTCAAGTAACAGGATTCTATAAGCCCATACCAAACAGGAAAAAAGGAGCAGAGAAAGGAGAATAATAAAGAGAAATTTAGACTTCAAGTACCTGAGAAATTATACGTTCCCCATCTTGATACACTTTCTCTCCTATAACATCCACTATCTTCATTCGCTCTGATGCCTGGAACAAAGAGGAAAATTAAACATAGTCATCTGTTATGGTACATCTTTGGTAAACTTTGCAGCTCTGAAATGAAGATGCAGTCACTAGACACAAAAACATACAGTGTCTGGGTACTGCAAAATACAGCCCCTGCAATGACTTTATCATACTGCACCATGGTTTTCAAGACTACCATAATCATCAGGGAAAGAAAACTGTCTGGTGCTCCATCCACGTGCTTTTCTTCCTCCCAGAGTTAATAAATAATTGATTTGGCTGGTTTAGAGAAAAGAAGAAAAAAAACCCAACAAACAACAATTAACCCCCTCAAAAACCCCCAAATCAAACTTCCTCTAACATTTAGTTGAAATTTGAAGAAAATACTCAGAAAAACATCATACGCTTCCTAAGGACAAACTTCAATGACAAATACTAGTGTCACGTTTTCAAAATATTGTCATCACCATACACTTGAACATGGGCGGGTTTTTTGTGTCCCAGAACTCATGCCTAGAGTGGAGAGAGGAAGGGGATATAAAAGGATACTGGCTCTAAATGATGAGCAGGCACTGCAACAGGATGCTCAGCAGCAGCCTGATATGCCATGAAGCATGCCTGAGCCTTCATCAACAGGAAGGGAGAAAGAACCATTAAAATTTATCTCCAGAGTTTCCCACTCTCCATCTAGAACACCACAAAACAATTTTGTTGCTTTAGAGCAGTGTGAAAAACTTTAAGAAAGAAACTCCTTAAGTTAAAGTTAATACCTCCACAGATGATTCAGTTGTAATCCATTCATTCCACAAATGCACCTTCATCTAGCCCCTGTTTAAGAAACTTAATTCTGATCCACACATAATTTAACTGCAATGTGTCATGCAAAAAGCCATTCAGTGCTAATGAGTTATTTTTTTATATCTTTAAATATTTATGAGTCATTTTTGTGCTCACAAAAAGTCACACTGAGGTAACTAGCTTAAGTCAGGCACTGAGGGAGAAGGTGGTGTGCAATTTACCTCTTCCACAGCTACGAACTTATCTCCAAAATATATATTAGGGGCTGCTATGATATTTTGCGATTTTGTAATCTTTCAAAGGAATTAAAAGCTCTTTTCAGATGCTAAAGATTAATGCTGGAAAACACTCTTACAATGAGAAAACAAAGAAAAGTGAAGTTATGTGTAAGGCAAAGGCAGACACATACTAGTTTCAGAGCAGTTTGGTACAGCTCCAAAAGCCTTCTGAAAACCCAGGCTGAACCAATAGCTTAGAAGTGACAATTTACACGTTGTTCCTAAAGTCACGCATCACAACCATCGGCATGACACCTCATTTTGTTCCCAGGTAGCAGTGCTTCCCTTTAGTCTCAAACTTAAAACCATTTAGACCTTTGTCTCAAACTTAAAACCATTCATGGCCGATAAAGGCCAAATATCCCAGCGACTACATCGTTCTTTCAATATCACACCCTCAAAGGAAACCACAGCCCTGAGTTCAAATTTTCACTTTAATACCTGTTTTCTCACATATTTATATAGATGGGTTTTGTTTTGTGGGTTTTATGATGTTTTTTATGTCTTTAAAGGCTGAGATAAAAATCAGCAAATTGCTTACTGTGAATGAAGAATGTGAAAAGTGTACAACTTCAATAATGCAAATTAAGTTGTACAGTAAATGTGATATCAAAGCAGCTCTGAGAAGTTTGTTCTAAGCAAAAATGACACAGATTTCTGACACAGCAGAAACACTGACTGCAGAGCTAATGCTAATGCAAGAAATTGATGCAGATGTCTCCAAGAGGCTTTACCTCCAAGGATTTAAGGAGGGGCACAGACTCAATAAATAATTCATACGTCTTCCTTTTCTTTGCATTGTTTTTTAATATAATTCTTCTGAATGTCACTCGATCCTGCAAGAAACAGCACAGAGAAATACATTATTCTTCTTCACTAAAATACTCCCTGTTTAAAGAACTGACAGACATGAACTAGTATTTGGCAAAGAACTCTGGTTTTGAGAATTCAGCTGATAAAATGCTACCATATCCATCACAATGATGATTGTAACAGCTCCTGTAAGAGTACTTGTTGCAGTAATAAACTGAAAATCAGGAAGCTCCGAGTCCTGATCCTTCCCACATAAGTATATTTAAGAATTCCACTTTTAGTCTATCCCATCCTGTTTTTCAGGGTTGAGTTTTGGGGGTTTGTTTGCCTGTTCATTAGTATACTTTTCATGCTTCCACATACAATGAAGTTACACTTTTCTTGCTGAAGCCATTGGAAAGTAGAATTTCCAACACTTATTTGTTAAGGCAAATGCAGGGTTAAGTTTGAATTGGATTCTTCTCTACTTGAGTCACAGATTTCGAAAGTGAGTTGGAGATGTATACTGGTCTCAGATCACACACAGAACAGCAAACAGCAACAGGCTTCCTTCACTCCTCCACCTTCTAGGATCCGAGAGTCAGCTTTTTGCAGCAACTACTTCTCAATCGCCAGCTGCACACGTGTACCATGAGCACCCTCCTGATGGAAAAATGGTTCAGTTTGGTTTTGAAACCCGAATATTGGGCAAGATTCCTCCCGTGGTCTTTTCCCCTGGCAGCAGGGAGCGATGTGCAGGCTGGGTGGCCACTGGGAGGCACTACGTGCCCGAGCGAAGGCAAGCTCGCCCAGCTCTCGCCTGGGTACCTGCAGCGGCAGACATGTTGGAGGGCTCATTTATTGCCAGAGATCTTAGCCAAAAAAAGGAAAAAAGTCTCTTTTAAGTTTGCATATACCACAATGAGCAGAGACGTCCAAAGTCCTGAAAGATATTCCTCTGGATCTCATTTTCTGAAAACATCAACCAATACCTTAGCAGAAACATTCTGAGGTCGAGAGGTGTTTTTAAGCAAGAGACCAGTTTTATAGGGTGAGGGCTGCAGATACTTGTAACTATGACTGATAGGGGTGACACTAGTGGAATATAAAAGTTGAAGGAGGTGAAAGATGCAGGGAAGAATGGTATTACTTTTATCCACAGGAGAACAAGAGATAACAAAGCATGAAGGATTGTTTTATTTCTTTAAGAGATTTTTTCAGTGGTAGAAGTCTCTTCAAATGCACATGTTTGGAGAAGCAGAAAGGTGCAGAAACAGGGGAATTTCAAAAGCATAAAAAAAAAAATCAGGAATTCATTTGTTTAAGAGTATCAGTGAGGGAAGAGAAGCAGCAATACTTGAAAATAAAAGGGCGAGAAGTGAAGGAAGCGTGTGTGATTGCGAGGCACGTTCAACAGCAAAGGCTGAGGACGTTTTTCTGCTCCAGAAGAGACTCACGCTTGTTAACTGCTTTGTGCCTGAGCTTTCCAGGCTTTTGTTTGCCTAGATCTGCAATGCAGCAGGAGTAATCCACATTTCCTAAACAGCAGATAACCCATGAGCTTCAGCAACGACTTCTGCAGACTAATAAAAGTGTTTAATTACATCAGGCACAAAATAGCACAATAAAACATAGCAACGACAGAGTAACTGGAAGAAATAACCAGTTCTAGGCAGGAAAATGCAGTCATGGGACAGATGACTAGCAAGAGGTCCCTCTTCAACTACATCTTGTGAATTAAGTGACTGTAATCACAGAAATAACAGACTCAAATGAACCTGATTTGTGCAATTCTTTGAAAAGGCAAACTGGAACAAAGAATCATCTTAATTTCTTTCTTTCACGAATGAGCTCAGCTTGTAGGTAACTGCTTTATTCTCTCTTGTTCAAGAAATCAGATTCTGACATTACTCCCTTGGTTGATTTACCAAAATCTTTTCTTTCAGTTCACAAAGAAAAAGGAAATCAGAAATCGGCTCTCTCAGTCAGCGCAGAGATTGCGTAAGCATGCTGTGTGTAGCTGCTTATCAGTTCTATAATCAAGGTCACAACACATGGTCAACCCCCAGCGATAGTCACCGCGGAGCCCAGTGCACACAGAAAGCACACAACACTTCTGGCTTCAAAGGCTTCGCTGATCACACAATCCAGTTATGTGAGCCCTTACAGATCAGTAAGAGAGCACTGTGAAAATAACCCTATCCAAAGAGTACAGAGAAAAGAACTAAAAAAGGAGACGAACGTCTACAGCTTCACATTCAACACTGCTGAGCTGGAGACAAAGCAACACCATCACTTAGCTTGGTATCTCATAGGTCATGCTGACCTGAGAACTTCTTCCAGGGTAACACAAAGGGGCCAGAAACATCATGACAGCTTATTTTGAAGGAAAATAAAGCTTTGGGCAGTTTTCCTAGCTCTTCAAATTACTGACATTTTAAAGAAGATATTTAACACCTTCCTATTCCCCTTAAAGCAGACAAAACGGTATGGTGAGCTGAAAATAAAGAATGTCATTTAGATATTGCTTCCCTTTCCCATATAATATGTGCATTAACGCCTCCACTGTCCTTCACAGGATGAAAACAAAACCAGGTTTGGTTGTGGTTTGTTTTTCTTTTACCCTAACAAAAACCACAGTTACAGCAAACACAAAATAATAACAGGGACAGACAAAACTAGTGATACAATTCTTGCAGCCAACTTGTTCTAGAAGGGTAGCCACAAAAATTTGCACAATGGATCTTTTATGCCAGGAAGTGAGAGAAGAGATCATGATAAAATAGCTATTAGCACAAGAAGACTTACAAAGAGAAGTGCTGGGCATGATTAGTTAGTGGCTAAAATATTATGCATATGAGAGAAACTTTCTTTTCTTACCAGTCCCCAAAGGGCTCCTTCTGTTGTGGCAACAATGGTGGCAGCTCTAGGAGTGTTGTACATCAAGGCCAGTTCCCCAAAACTGCCGTGATTATCATAGCGGCCCACACAGCGTGACTGGTTGTCTTTTGCTACAACAATATCATACAAACCCCTGGAAAACAATGGAATAGATGCTTTTTATGAGACAATATTTCAGTACAAATCATAAAAACAGATTTTGGTGTTACATAAATAGTCTTCTTATTGCTGGGTGAGATGGCACACGCTCTATCGAGCTCTGCAATTGCCCGATACTAATCTGCTTTCATCTACACTATTGTCAGAGTAATTCTCTCTTAATAAAGCATTTCACTCCTGACAGGTCTGGGCAGGATCTGCCTGGTTTCCTATGCACAGCATTCTGGCACTGCTATTGTAAGTGTTCTGGCCAGGGTGACAGGTAGTTTCACCATTTTTAACAGTATTTGTCTTTTCCCAGCATGCATATTATCCAGCGAGGCCTCTTTAAGAGTGACTTGGATCCATCTATTTCCCATTTTCTCAGTGAGAGCACTGCTGCAGAGCCTCTGGCATACACCCAGTCCAACTGCTCACCTGCTCCTGTGGTTTTTGCCTCGACTCCAGTTCAAGTGTATGTCGTTATCATAACCCCGGGATGCAATCGTAGCTTATATCTGCACATGCTCATGCTAGATTCAAACTACCCAGCGCTTGCATGGAAAACAGTGATCCCATGTAAGCACAAAGATCACAGAAAGGGCCTTTCTTTACATACCTAGGATGCTGTTTTGCAGTGCAGACTGACCAGTCTTATTATGAGCAGCACATAGTGATCCTCAAGCTGGAAGATTTAAAGCTAGTTCAGGAATGTTAGACATGCCACATCTTTACACTGCAGCACAGAGATCTCCAGAGGTAACCACTCCCCACCTGGCATTTGTCTAATAGCTTCCTTAGGATCAAAACTTGTATCACTCAGTTCAACTACACACCAAGCTGCAACTCTGCGCACGCTGAGCTGAACCAACCAATTTTATCACCATTTTCATGGAGGTGTGGCTCCTGAAAAAAAAGCAGGTTCTAGAAAAAAAGCATGCAGTATTTGAAATTGAAGAACCTGCTCAACACTCACAAGGCAATGTGTGCTGAGGTGACAACGTAGAATGCACAAGGTTAGGAAGCATCGGGAAGGTAACTTCCAGCAGTTTTGCAGATCGTTGCAGGCTCCACTCTAGTCACAGTGGCTCCAAATTAAAGTGGCCATGCTAAAAGTTTTTTGTTTGGCTGGGTTTTTTTGATTATAGCTCCCTTCTAGAAAAGCTCTCAAACTGTTGCCATCTATACAGGATCTCTGAAGAGATCAAGAGGGAAGTGTTCAAGTACCAGAAGCCTCCTTGCACTTTGTTCATAGGGACCTGTAACCTGTTTGAATTGGAAAGGCCTCCTCACCTGGCTCTCCAAGAGGTACACTTCCCACATTAGAATGAAGCTAAGGTAACAGTATCACAGAATTTACTAAGAATCAAAGGATTATTTTGATGAAGATGCAGGAACAAGTTCAACGAGTCAAAGCTCAAGACAAATCTCAATCAAACTGCACCACAGCAACTGCATATGAAGAACCAGGCTGTGCACAGAAAGGGAGCCCTTTAAAAGTCAAACAAGTGTCTAACACCTTCAGGACCGTCTTATGTTTGTGGCTTTAAAAAATAATTTAAAAATATAGCTGGACTAGGCATGATAAATTCTTTGCTATGGTGCCAGAGATCATTCAGAGACTAGCCACCGGCCTAAGCAACTTTTCAAAATATATCATAGAGAAAAGCAGGGGGGGAACACCTCCCTGGCTTTAAGAGGCTGAAGACATACGTAATTTTCCCCAGAAGTTTAGATCTTTGTCAGAAGGAATAGTATTATCTCCAAGAACATCATTAGGCACGTAAGAACAAAACCACCATAATCACCAGCAATGGCACTTGGTGAGAACTTCTCATGGTAAACAAGAACAGGCACATTAGTGAGACAACAACTTCTCATCCTTCAGCCTGAAAGTCAATTTCTAGTGCCACTTATTTCCAAATAACTCTAGTCTTGTAACCTTCAGCCAAGCACTCAGCTGCCTGTAGCCCAAGGACTAAACCGGTGAGGCATCACTGAGTGACCTTGGCCCCGCTTCATTCAGAAAACTGTTGCTGAGCTGTGACACTGTCCATGAGCTAAAGCCCTGCAAGGTGAGAAGAATAAAAACACAGACCGAAGTGTAATTGTTGAGATGGTAATCGTTAGGAGCTCAAGGACTCAAAAGAAAATTACTGACACGAGAAAATATAAAACCCCAAGGAAAAAAAAATAAAAGTAGAAGAGGGCAACTCATCAAGATTGTGGATCAGTCTGTTCCAAAAAGCAAAGGCGGCCAATGCTGCCCCTCCTGACTGACAACAGCAGGGACTTGCCAGGCGCCTCCTCAGCAGTGATGAGCACGCTGATGTTCAGCTACGCAACACATTCGTCCCAGCTCTCCCTGCCATGCTGTAAGCACTAAACAGCTGCTGCATCCTCAGAAGTTGCATCTGTCCTGCCTGCTGTCCCTCTGCATGGTAAAAGGTGCTCAGACAAAAGTGATCTGGTGAGGAAGTACTGCAGCCAGAAGATTTTTTGGGGGGGGTGGGGAAAGGCCTATGGCAGAAAGCTTATTTTTATATGCAGACTAAGAATCTAAAGAGTTATATCTGCATCACAAAGTCACTGTTCATTCAGACAAGAAGAAACTAATCACCAGGGATATTTAGGCATTAATGACTTAACTCAGAGTAACAGGACATGCCTGCTGGTTCCTTGAAAGAGCCAGAGTCCTTCCAATTTGCAGGCAAGTGGAAATATTGTAGCTTTCCATAAGCACCAGTATCCTGCTATTCTGTTGCATAAGAAAATGAGGTGGGAGGTAGAGGAGGACTGGGAGGGAGGAGGACTGGAAAGGGATAGAGGGGGACAGAACATTCGTAACTGTAGAATTCTTTGTAATAACTGAATAGTCGACTTAAGACTTGCAGGCAAGTTGGTGTTTACAGCAAAGGCTGGTATGCTCTATCGCTGGACAACACCAAGTTTCATTTCCCTCACTGTATATCCTTTTTTGCCACACACTTTTGGCAGCATATTTATTATATCTTGAGTATAAAACAAAACAAAAACTTAAAAATCTGAAATCTTGCAACCCAAATCTTTCTTGATAGAAAAAAAACAACCCCACACTGTGGAACAGCATTACATCTGCACAACAGAGACCATAAAAACAAAGATAAGGTTTTGCTTCACTTCAAGTTAAAACACATAGTAGGAAGAGGTTTTTTAGAAACTGACAGGTGAAGAACCTTACACAGAAACAAATTAAAATAGGCTGATGATATCTAACTTTTTTGAGAGTTTAAGTTTCTTCAAGATTACGCCCACTGCTTTGCATACATCTCCCTTTTGCAGAGCTGGTGGGTCTGGCCCCTCTGAGTTCTGATCTGCAGGATCTTAACTGTTCCCTGGGGCAGCCTGACCTCCTCAGTGAACCTGTCAAGAAAAGGAACTTGTTCTATCTAGCCCAAGACATAGGATTAGTCTGTGGCAGAGCAGTCAAGGGTGTTAACGGAGAGCAGAAATGGAGCACTGGTTTAGGTTAATGGGATGGGGTGGTAGAAGATGGGAACAGGCATATGGTCAGAATATATCTGAGGTAGCCTTATCTTCTGTAATTCCATTAATCAGAAAGGGGACTGTCCTTAAAATGAACACAGATCACTTGAAATGAACAATATATAATCTAGACATTCTTTTGCAAATTCCTGAAACACAGCATAAATGACAATGCAAAAGGCAACACGTTGCCTTGAACTACTTTGAAAGCGTTTAATACAATATTAGTGGCGCCATCATTTCAGTGATAAGGAAGATAACTGTGTCAAAAAAGTAGTTTTCTATGGCTGTGTTTCAACAGATGTTTATAATTCAGTCAGTATTATTTTGTTTAATATTACATTTTTTTAGGAAATAAATCCATGTCCTTAATTCTTCTTCAAATACAGTGATTAAAAGTAACTTTAGCCAACAGGGTAAAAGACACACAAGATGTGCTGGTTAGCTCAGTCAGTTGGAGCGTGGTGCTGCTAACACCAAGGCCGTGGGTTCGATCCCCATTCGGTCCCCATGTGTTGCCTGATCTAGTTGAGAGGTGTCCCTGCCCATGACAGGGAGGTTGGATTAAATGACCTCTAAGGTCCCTTCCAGCCTAGGCCAGTCTATGATTCTATGATTTATATGATCCACAAAATTATGTGAATTTGCTTGATGTGAGAAATTTCAAAATGGCACCTTAAACTCTGCAAATACAAATCACGCGGCCAACAGAAGAAAAGTAACCCAAGTCTCTCTGAGGTCAGTGATCAAAACTAATCGAACAAAGTCCAGTTTGTTCCACGGTAGCCACCTGTATTCTTCCCCCCCAAATAACCTCCTATCCCTTTCCCCTACCATACAGTTTCTTCTGCTGCTTTTCCCCTCCTTTCTGCAGAAAAACCACCCTCTGGTCTAGAGACAACATGCAATATGGCTGGTTTTAAACTACACATATGCTGATCGCACAAAAGCTAAAACTGAACAAATCACAGGCAAGCTCATGTTGCAGCCCTTTCCTCAGAGGAAGTGGTATTGCCCCTGGGCAAATGATCCAAAAGTCAACGGGAGCCTAAAGAGGAAAAGGGAAAGACCAAAGGAAGAGGCAACCACTGCAAAGATCAAGTTTCCTTCAGAAATTGGCCTGCAAGAAGCATTTCATGCTATTTCTAAACATACTCTACATTCCAAAGGCACAGCTGCTTACCGCTCAATGACATAGAAGTTGTCTCCATCATCACCTTGGTCAATCACATGTTCCTGAGGTTTCACCTTCCTCTCAAACATGGCATCAAGGACCTGAGATAGCTGCTCCTACAAAATGAACAGGAAAAAAACCCAGTAATAACAAAGCCTTAATTTGAAAGTGTTTCACAGTTACTGAAGGACAATATAGCCTGAGCAAAAGCAGCAGCCATGCATTCTGCCTTTCAGTGAGTATTCCGTGGCCAAGCTTCCAAGTCAGTTACCTTATAGAGCAGGAGTTAACTTATTGGGAAGAGAAATAAAAGGATCCAAGTTCCACACTTCCTTTATATACATTACTAAGAAAGTCGGCTAAGTGCTCTCTGTCATCACACTATACGCAATGTATGGACGGATAGCAGTCATCTTTTTCAGCCATGTGCTATCTTAAAGCCTGAGTCTTTAACAGCTGCTGTGAAGATCATTTCCATTACTTCTCAGCTGCTTAGAAAGCTTTTCCTAGGACGCAGTATTTTTCCAAACCCACTTTCTCAGCTCAAATTTGTTTTTCAAAGTAATCTTCGAATATAAATTGGTTCTTAATTTTTCTTCTAGATGATTTTGCTGGAAACTAAAAGACTGGCCTACTCTATTTGAATGGTGATCACATTTTTTACATGCTCTTTGAGCTGCTGAATGTTTTTAAATACGTTTTGTTTTTTACAGTATATAATCAGGTTACTTGCAAGCAGAACCTTTAAAATATCTTAAGTAAATAGGCTTAATGACAACAGGAATCCCAGAACAGTGAAAAGCCAGTCTTGGAAAGGACAACTTTCAAGGAAACTTTCTGCCAGAATGTCAGTTCCTCAAGCCTGCTGCAACCAAAAGCTTTCAACAACTTTTTTGAGAATGCAGTTCGATGACTCCTGGGAGTTTGTACGGCAACCAAACACTGTGAGAATTTCCTGGTTTTCAAGGAAAACTGAGAACCGTTTCTGAAACCATGAGCTATTGCATCCATCCTTTCATCTCTCAGGCAAAGCTCAGTAATTCAAAACAGGAATCGGGGGCCATCACTGGTGTTACAGCTTTCACTCTTCCCCAATCTGTAGCAGAGGTGTCAGTCGTGTTTTCATGGAAACACCAGCCCAGAATGAGATGCATTTATTCTATGGCCCCTCAGAGTTTGGAATAGAGGATCTCTAAAGGTCTGTTCCCAGACTACCCGTGTCCCGATCCAGCCTGTGTATAATTAATAATTCACAAACTATCAAAATGCAAACAAGTGCATGCTACTACCTCTGCCTACAATCCATCAACTTCAATTAAGATTTTCTTAAATTTATATTACCTGATCTAGGTTTTTGAAGAGCAGGATATCTTTACATGCTTCCTGCAGTCTGCATCGCTGTTCATCAGTTTTTGGATGAACTACCTATAAAACAAAGCAATTCAAAACTGTCATGACAACAAAGAAATATGATTAGAGACTGAATCTTCACTTCAGAGTGTAAAAGCACAACACAATTTAAGAATGTCAGAGTATGAAGTTCTTTTTTGTTGTCTGCATAAACAGTATTTAAATATAAACATAAAATGCAAGACAGAATGAAAGAGATGTAAGAAATATATTATGCTGACAATTAACACATGCAAAATACCACTCAAGACAGACAAGCAAGGAGAGGATGCCTCTTCCTTTCCCTGCCTTCTAACCCAGCCACAGATACAGTCAAGGCTTGAGCATTTAGAGCTAACTCTGTCTGTATTAATCCCCATATATTTGTTGTTGGCATACAGGTGATTTATAAGATTTTATGTATCTCAGCCGATCTAATAACAGACGTTTTCTAAGAAGCATATTTTTTAAAAAACAAAATTACTTAAATAAAAACTTTGCTAATTGAGAGGGTTTTTTTGTTACTTCTTTCCAATTATAAAGGGGTTAAATGAATGAACACTCACTGTGTCAAAAATGTTTATATGTGTGCTTGTTGGTGGCTAATTATGAAAACGTATACAAATATTAATTACCTTACATTCACATTAACTATACTTCTGGAACAACAAGGATTCCAAAGAATAGTATGCATTTCTAAAAATTCATTGTCCAAAGTCAAGCAGATCTCAGATTCTTGTTTTAAAAGAGAACTGAACATTGAATCAGCAGTCAGAAAACTTAAGACTTTTGATGGAACAAATGTATCCATCCAAATGTTTGTAAACCTGATCAGACACAGTCACAGTCTTTTTTCTTTTCCTTTTTAGAGCATCTTATTTATGAAGTATCTTCTTTCTTAACAGAAATGAAATTAAACTCAGATTTCCATTGCAGAAGTGTACGCATCCTTGAGATGGAATCTAAAGAGGAACATCAGAAGTCCAACAGAGAAACACCGGCCCTCACCAGGCAGGCTAGAAGATCTGCTCACATAAAAAATAAAGAAATACAACTATAGTATCTGGACTTGCAATTCCTAGAAATTACCACCTTCCAAAAACAATAGAAAAACAGGTGTCCACAGTCTCAAAATATTTCAACAAAGTATTTCTCCTACCCAGGCAGAACTGCTTTGACAAGACGGGCAGGAAAAAGCACGCGAGGAATTTTAAGCACCCATGAAGAAACAGCTGTGGTAAAGCTTAACTAATTTTTCAGAACAGCATTGATGCTTTATGCATTACTTCACCAAGACTATAAGATAATTCAGAAAGGAAAATATCAAAAATTTTAAAGATGGTAGGCTGAAGCACGGTTCTCAAGTTCTTTGAGGAAAAATTATATTAAAGCTATAGTGACTACAAAAAGAGCATGAGACAAAGTGACCCTAAATTTCAGAGCAATGTCGCTTTGTCCACGTCAGCACAGACACAGCCTCTCAGTTCACTCATTCTTACCCTTTGTTCTGTATCTTCTTCCTCTTCATCCGGATTGAAAGCTTCAGCACAAACTTGGAAGAAAAAGGGAGACGAAATTCATAAAAAGAAGTAATTACACAAGAACACTGAGCAAATCAAGTTTAAATTAATTTCTTCTATGTTTTATTTTCCTATAGGAAAAAGAAACCCACTTTTCTTTTTATGTTGTTCTAGTGTCAGAGGCTTAAACTCTTACCTATTTCCTGAGCAGGCACAGCATGGCTGTTCTCAAACTCTCATGTAAAATAACTCACAATAGAAAATCATCTTGCCTAGTGAGTACTCCAAAGCAGGCACACAGATTTCCTTTCAATTCTTATCAAAGAGTAACAACCTTCACTCAAATTCATTTACAAACATTTCTAAAATGCAGGGGGAAATGCTGTAGCTACATTACTTTGAGCTTTGCAGTGCAAGGTATAGAGCAAAACATGCTGGGGGAAAAAAGAGTACAAGGGGGACAGCAGCCCTCATTCCACCTCAGGTCAGATTTGCAAGAAAGTATCTATATTTTGAGGTGGTTTTCAACACAGAGAAATCACATTCACATAGAAATTAGCTTGTGAAACGAACAATCAGTTGACTATAACATATTCTATGACAAAAAATGTTTAGTCCCCTCCCAATATGCTCCTATTTCTTACTACACTTAAACTAAATGAATGTCAAGTTGCAATATAAAGATAAATTTAAAAAATACACAAAGTGACTTTTAAAAAAAATAAAAAAAGGCTGAGAACATTTATTGACTCAATACACGGTACTGCACAGGAACACGGCTCTGCCAAACACGTCCTTATCACTACAGGTTCAGTTGTAGAGAGGGGCAATGACAATGGTGAGCTTTCAAAATTTCAAACCATTTCTGTTCAGTTTTAAAACTCAGAAAAGGCTTTTCTTAAGAGTTACGTCGTTACGCAACATTACAATATTCAACACAGATATCTTTGACTGCCAAAAGCCTATGGCCTATGACTTTCTTATTAATTTCTGGACATTTGCAGTTTTTATATGTCAAAGTGAACTCTCCATTCTAACTACCTGTACAGATCCTGTTCTCACCTAGTTCTGCTCTGATTTTAATAAGGGTGCTCTTACTTCTGAGGCTATACACTACTTGTAATATTTTACAAAAAAACACAGGCAAGCATTTTTCTTTGTACTTTATCCAGTATTCTGACAATACTGAAGACTTGGCAGAATGCCCAGCAGCTCCCTGCAATGACATTTAGCCACTGAATGGATTTACAATAAATAAAAATAAGCAGATCCAAAAAAAAAACAACTCTAGAAGGCCTAGCATTCAGCAGCTTGCAAATAATTTGAAAATACATACAGGACTATTGACCTTGTCATCGTGCTTTCAAAAGGACTACAAAAATACAAGTCACGCATAATCTGCTAGGAAAGACTTGTCGTTCCCACATCCCCCACCACCATGTAAAAGGTACAGGTCTTTCCTAACAAATGAGATTTTAACTCCTTTCTTTCTTGGAGAGATTGAGAAGACTGGAATACAACTCAAGCATTCCATTTATCAAACCACAATGTAAAAAACCCAATCACGTAAGCATTAGGTGTTCTGCTTTGCACAACACAACAACACAGGAACAGGCTACTAACAGCGCACCTTCACCAAACACATGGTTTTAGTGTAACCAAGTGTGCTCCAGCCCCACTGAGGGCAGGCACTTGACAAAGGATAAAGAGCATTCTTCCCCAGCCGAGCAAAAAGCGCCGCCCACCCCCCGCCCTGAAGATGACTGTGCTATGGGATGGGAAATGCCTACAACGCTGCACAACGTGGTGTGCAGTACAAAGGCACTGGCAAAGAGAACAGTATTAGCATTTTGGTGTGAAAGCTTTCCTCCTCCTTTCATGTTACAGTGAGGATCAAAGTCTATTGTGAAGGCTTTGGATTTTCTAAGGAACGTTTTCCTAAAAGAAAGGCTCCTTGGTTTAAACAGTAGAGTGAGATTGGAGATAAAAAGCATCTTTATTTTTACAACCAGCCTATCTAACCAGTAGCTAGAGTTCAATTCTTTATTATGAACTATAGTATAGACTATAAATGCAATTCCGTAAATTTCTGAAACACCTGGCATATAAGCACACACATATCATGTATCTATGAACTAAGAGATCACTGTATTTCACTGTATCATTTTATAATTTAAATTCCCAATATTAAGCTACAAATTAGATTTTATTCCTGCCTCAACTGCAGGGAAGCTATTGCTAAGAATATGCTTTGGAACTGAGGAAATTCTCTTCAAGATTTTCTTGGGAAAACAAGTTTAATTATCACAGCTAAGACTATAGCATTAAAGCAAAATCTTTCTTTAAAACATGCAGCAATCAAAACAAGACAGTTTTCTGCAACTTTAGTATCAAAAACCACTGAGGACACTCCTCTTACATACGGAAATCACTTCTGTAGTGCCCATCAATGGCACCACAAAAATAGAAGAAAAATGTGGCAAAAATACTACTTCTTCCCATGCTGCCATGTAGAAAGGCTTTCCATTCAACTTTTTATCCCTCAACCTCCCACTGGGGTTTCTTTTTCCATGTAGAATCAGCAGAGCAGACATTCTGGACTTCAACTGACAGCTCTGATTGACAGGACTTTTATTTACTTGCAGGCAGAGCTGTAACACTTAATGTAACATATCTGTTGTGGGATGGTTAAAAAAAAAGGGGAGAGACAAAAATGATTAATTCTGGCCTCAATCTTAAATTAATATTATGATATGCTGGAAAGCTCACAGAAAGCTTTCCAGCCTACTCGTAACAACCAACAGCACTTTCCAAATATTTTAAAACATGACTAATGCGAAGAAAAGGCGAACATGACGTCAACACCAGCCTGTGCTTTACATCGCAGTATGCGCGATTTTTCTTGTCACTATTGCTAATTAGTAAATTACTTGTGGAAGTCTGTACTGGTCAACATACTACCTGTCAAGATCTGTGTATCAGTCTCGCCTTCAATACGTTTCATGTTATCTGGGCTCAAACGGTGCTGTTTCCCCGTTCTTCTGACTGAGAACCCCTGGAACCACACTGACCTCTGCTAAACCCTGTCAGAAATCTATGGCTGCTGATTTCAGGACTCCTGAAGGTCAATCATTTGCAGGTTACAGTAGAGACCATCCCAGGGAACAGCAATTTGATCATTCATTTTGTTGGAATGAAAACATACTTGCCCCACAATTTAACATGTGACTGAATCAACATTTTAACCATTCCAGCATCCCAGTAAAACAGGTACTCCAGGGCAAGCTTACTCTCACAGGACTATCCTGAAGAAATGTGGCAGTAGCATGTTTTCAGACTCACTGAAACCACAAATGGAGGGACTCGCTCTCTCTGAAGGTCACCCAGTCCCCCCAGTCCTTAGAGGGGAGCGATTTGCAATGCCAGACTGGGGGTCCCCAGAAACCTCCCTCGACAAAGATTCCACACCTCTCTGGCTAACCTGCTCCACCACCCTCCAAGGGGAGAAGCTTTTCTTTATGTGCAACCTAAAGCTCACAAATACCATCATATAATTAGAAGTGACTTCTGAAATCACACCTTTCTTCTGTGAGATTTTCAGCACAGCTCTGCCCTTGAACAAACGCTAAGCATGAACGCATCAGTCCAAGTTACGTACAAGTGTGGTGCACACCCAAATTACCTATTTCCAGTTACTACGGCTGTATCGGTGTATATCACACAGACCAAACTTCCTTCCAAATCTACCTACATAGTTCAAATAGGCTTGGAACAGAAACCGTTTACAATTTTAAGAATCTTTTAGATAAGAAGAATTACAGGCTTTTACCCTATCATCTACATTTAGTGCCTCCTAGCTCCTGCAGCTCCTACAGCTCGTTTAGCTTTCTCCTCATGCAGCATCTTCTTTGGCTTGCAAGATCAGGCACATCTGTTAACACTTCTGAAGGCTTAGAAATGACACAACTTGATCACTGCTTTGTTACGCAGGTGACAGCATCTGAAAGCAGCGAAGATCTTTCTAGCTGCAGAAACGACACCAGCAGTGGATGGGTGAGTGGGAAGCAACAGGTGGGGAGAAGATGAGAAGTAGCAAGAAAAGTTTGCCAGTACAAACACCATCTTTGTTTATGCACATTTTAATCACCCTCAAGATAATACTGTTCTGCAAAATATGTGTTTTGTTAATATCAAAAGTTCTTGCACTCTAGGCAAATCTGCATAATAGTTCAGCATTTAGCTCCCATGAACAAATAAAGTCTGTGAGAGAAATGCACCATCCTGATCACCGTGACTTTTGTCAAAATAATAGCCAAGAGGCTGAGGCCTGAAGACCTGCAGACACACACAAGAGGAGAAAAACATTTCATACTGGACATGAAAATGCTACATTTATGTAAGGTGAATGTATTGTTAATATTCTGTTGTTACTGGAAGAAGTAGCAAAGACATGAACTGTCACACTCTCTTTGCAATCTACTTTGTAGTGAAATCCCATTCACTCATCTTTACTTACAAGGACACGTTACCTCCAGTTGATTCTATGAGACCTATTAATTAAAATCCACCTAGAGGAGCATATGGAGAACAACCTTTCCAGTTATTTATTCAGATCAGTAACCTTGCACTACATTTAAGGTGGCATTCTCGGCATTTAGTTTTGCCAAAGCTTCAAACGTTCTCTGTTTCCCACGGGAGAGATCTATAGCCTCTACTGGGAGCCACTAAGCCAGCTGGAAAGGTGACCAATTCCAGTGGCTTGTCGTTCCCTCTTTGACAGCTGAGTTGCTAAAGCAGGCACAAAATGATGTAGTCAAGACGAACTTAGGAAGCTTAAACAGAGCCTATACGTAGGTCTTTGCTGGCAGAGCTCAACTTGATTTTCTGCATTTGGGAAATAACTTCAAGCTTGCTCTCACTTTTATTGCTAGATACCTCCGAATTTCTTGGTTTAGAAATCACGCTTTGTTAAAGATCTCACCACGTCAAAGCAGGTGACAGATTCGTACCTCGATCCAGCAAGGAGGAAACC